GGCACCCAGGTGGACGGCGTGGCCCACGTCCCCGGAGAGCACGGCCCACCAGGCCCAGTGTGCACGCCCGTCGTCGGATGCTCCGTTTGTGTTGTGTAGGGTCTGGGTCTTCCTGGGTCTTGATCTGATTATGGCCGCAGAGCCCAGCACGGTGCCCGGCGTAGAAGGTGCTCAGGACGTGCCCGCTGCGCTGATTTGAGCGAGGGCCGTGCTTTACAACGGCTAGGCCAGCGTCCGAGAGCCGCCCCGCTGGGACGCCTAGTGCAGCCGGGATGGACCCCAGCAGCTCCTTGCTTTCCCCCGGTGCCTTCCTGCCTCCCGTCTTGGGGCCTTCCTCCCGCGGGAGCCAGCTCTCCAGTCTTGGCCCTGCGGGGCCGCGGCGGTCTTCGAGCGCTGCCGCGGCGTCCTTCCCTTTGAATTTGTCTGCTGTGTCCCCGTGGGTAAATCCAGGTTGTGCGCTTTTTGCAAGAAGGCCACGGAAGTGCTCTTAGCCCTTCTCCGGGGGGCGGGGGGGGCACGTGGTGCTGATTTATCCCGTCTCTGGTGTGGTCACGTCGACCATGGGGTCACGTGTGTCTCCCGGGCTTCTCCACTCCAGTCACCCTTTAAAATTCTTGAGTATTTTATGAGGAAATACTCTGCGACCGTATGAATACTGTTTGTCCTCATATTCCTGCCCAGTAGCTTTACTGTCCGCCGATGGCTCTTACGAGAAACAGGACTGTGGCGCTCGCGGGGTCTTTTTCTAGTCATTAGCTTTTCGCCTTTCGGTTGCAGTTTGACTGTAGGGGAAACTGCTTCCCCCGTGCTTATTGATCTTTCCAGTTGTTCCTACCAGTACGGGCTCACGAGTTCTTAATTACTTCTGTGCGTGAGGACCCGCTACCACCACCTGTTTATTTTCTTGCCCCATCGCCCCAGATTCGACCGGGGCGACACTGGCTTCTGTGACCTTTACTTTGGGACTCCACACTCACCTTTGGTACCACGGGGTGTTCCCGGCTCGTCTTGTATTCTCCGGCCTCAGCCCCAGTTAGCCGAGCCTGCAGCCGTCGTTTCACTCATGAAGAAGAAGCCAAAATCTGGGTGCTACGAGCGCTCACTGTTGGGGAGATCGTTGCTTCTACGGCCTCCCGGGGACAGGGCTGGAAAACACGAGTGTGTGCTCACACGTCTGTAACTATTCCTGACCTTTGTGGGGGGGGGGGTGCACGCACGTGAGGTCATCCTGAACTGCCCGCTTCGTCCATCACCAAGGAGTTTACTCCGTCCTCCCCCCACCAACTGCAGCTCCTGGGATAATGGTGAGAAACTCCCCAGCATATTTACTTGCTCAGTCCTAAAGGACACACGGGATAGCTTCAGGACTGCTAACCCACATACCCCATATGCAGACCTACTAACCCAAGTACTATGTTCGTGTACAAATCTCACATCTTGCCTTAGGGTGTGTAGTAGGGTTCCTGTTCCCCAAGGTGACTTTCCAGCCCCCCCACACACACACACACCCCCCGCAGCCTGTGCCGTTCATTTGTGATACAGTTAGGTCCACTTGTTTCTGTTTATGTTCTGTTTTGGGTCCACACCCTGCCCCTGCCTCACACTCCTTGTTGATTTTATATACTTATTTTTGAGGGTGTGAAACATTAACATGGTCCCAAAACTCAGAACCAAACAAAAGATAGATTCTTCTCCATCTCTGTTCCCGTGCACCTGCTGACGTCAACAAGTCTCCTTCATTTCTCATTTACCCTTTTTTCCTTAGATGAAAGGTAGCACAGTGTAGCTATTCTTCTGCACTTTGCCTTTTTCATTCTACAGTGTGTCCTGGAAATCACTTGCCGTCCACCTAAGCGATCTGTGCGTTGTGCGTTCTTGCTCTCGCTGCATACTGTGTGGACGGACCAGGGTTCCTTCACGCGGCCTCTTACCCGAGCCTTCTCCTTGTGCACGTATCTTTGTGTTACCTGATGGGTGGGGATGGGGACGGGATCCTCAAGATAAGTTCCGGGAAGTGAGGTGGCTGGTTAGAAGCCAAGCACAGGTGCGGCTTGTTGGATGTGGCCTCCCCGTTGTATCCGGTTTGCAGTCTCATTAGTGAGGTAGGAAAGTGCCTTTCTCTCCCATAGGCTTTGCAACAGAATACGTGTCACGCTTTTCAGTTTTCTAGGCCAAGAATTTGTACAGTGGTTCATGCAAGGACGGTAGGGGTAGAGGTGGTAAGAGGTGCTCAGACCGAAGACACATCTTGGAAAAACACAAATTAGAGTTTAGGAATGGATTGCTTTGGAGGCTGATGCAGCGGCTTTCCAGCTGGGGTCCTCTCCATCCTGTTTAAACATTAGGCGTCAGCATTAACAGTCTACACGGGTAACTTCTTTTTGCTTATCTGATGGATGAAGCTTTTGGTGACTCTCACCTTCCTCTTGGGCCAGCCTTAATTTTTTTTAAAGACATATTTATTTATTTTAGAGAGAGAGAGAGCACACGAGTACGGGCCGGAGGAAGACGGAGAGAATCTCCAGCAGACTCCTCACTGAGCACAGAGCCATACACGGGGCTGGACCCCACAACCTCGAGGTCATGGCCTGAGCCAAAACTGAGAGCGGGCCGCTTACCTGACTGAGCCCCCAGGTGCCCTTTGGGCCGGCCTCGTTATCACCCCATTACATACCTGGCCTTGTGACAGCCAGTGCTCCCTGCTCTAACAAGCACTTTTGGACACTTCGGTGGCTTAATGCAGCAGGGTATTTCTTGCCCACGTTACGGTCCAGCGCGGGTGGTTTTGAATCCCAGCTCTCTTCCACGTGGTGACTCAGGGCCCCGGGCTCCTCCTAGAATGTAGTTTCTCTGCGCCCTGCAGTCTTGGGATCCTTGAGGAGGGAGTACAAAGAGCAGGTGCAAAGGGGGCATCCTAACTGCCGTGGCCTGGACGGGGTGCAGATGACGTTCCGGGTTGGCTGCGAGAACTGGTCACCTGCCCGCCGGTGAGTGTGTACCTAGCGGACAGCAGCTTTCCCGGGAGCGCTCGTGCGCTGGAGGGGGAATCAGGGTTTAGGTGGAAGAGTAGCTCCCTCTGCTGCGGGTATTTAATAAAGCCAGTCCCTTGGGTGACAGGAGGGACTGTCCTGAAGTATTACATCGTCAAATACTGAAGAATGGTTTAAAAAAGAGTACAGAGCAGCCCCTCTAATCTGCGGGCCCCCAGGGGATGCCTGACACTGAGGTAGTACTGAGCCCCGGACACACTGTTGAAATATCCTGTAGCACGGGCTGTGTGAACGAGGGCGCTCCCTCCCACCGCGCCCCGCCGTGCTGTACTCCCCCTTTTTGTGCTGAGGTGGGTGATTCGGTGCCTGCGCGATGGGGCGGTGTGAGGTGCCCTGCTAGGCCACTGCTGCGTCAGAGGGTCCTGCAGAGGAAGGATCGCCTGCTTCCGGACCCAGCTGAGCACGGTGCCTGAAGCCCCAGGAGCGCGTCGGGGAACAAGCGGGGACTGCTGTAACCGGGGAGTTTGACGGAGGGTTTGACGGCAGGGACCGAGAGCTGATGGATCAAAGGACGAACCGTGTCTAACTTTGGAGAGTTAGTAAGTCCAGTAGAAGGGTTACAAGTAACAAGAATTGTGGATGAAAAAAAAGATTTTTTTGTGTTTTCATTCATCTGCTCCTGCATTCATTCAAGAGACAACACTAGAGCCCGTGTGCTGCTGGCCCCGTACTGGGTTCTGGGGTGGCAGCAGGGGAGGGGACCGGGAGCGCCAGGAGGTGGGCTGCGCGTATACTGCAGGGGGCAGGGGACGGGAGAGTGTTGTGCAGGTGTAGGGAGAAGGGACCAAGCATGAGCCAGAACTCTGGGACTTTCCCTCCCCTTGTGATGTTAAAAAAGCAAAATCTTTCTTTTTTTAAAAAAAAAAAAAAAAAACCCTTCGAGAATATTATATAAGAGAAACTTTGTAAAATCTTTTAAAGCATAGCACTTTATTAGAACAAACTGATCATCTACATAAGAAAAATGTCAGATTCTAATAAACAAGCTGTGCTATTTTATGTTCTGTTCAGAATATCCTATTTTTCAATCACATAAAAACGGAGTATTTCTCGCATTCTTAAGTGTTTGTAGACTTTGTGCTCATCTTATTTTTTTTTGTGTGTGTGTGTGTCTATCTTAAATGGAAAAAGTTAATATTGTTCTCATCATGCAGGAGTTTGATTTTTAGGGGGACTGCCAGAGAGAAAGATCCGTCATAATATTTTATAGCCACACCAGGGGAGTAATGCCAGTAGCCACCACGTAGCGTGTGCGCCGCGCACTGCAGTTTTCAGAGGAATCCTATAGAACCGATCCACCCCGGCTGTCACCACAGCCCCGTGAAGCAGGTGGTGGCTCGGCGAACATCACCATTAGTAACGGTAGCAGTTGTATGTAGATGTTCAGATGTGTCGCCACCTGAGCACCTGCATTTGACAGTCAAGGAAAGTGACCCTCAAGGGTGTCGATGATGTGCCCAGAATCTGTAAATCTAAATTCCCAAAGACAGAAAATAAATCTTCAACTCTGACGTTGTAGTCTAATTGTATCTGTGTTCACGAATAAAAAATCCAGTTGAGCTTTTGAAAACTCCATGTACTTCTTGTCTGTTACTGTGAGGGTGGGAGGTAGACGGAAGCCAAGAAAATATGGTTAATATTTCCAAGCAGTGTGATGTTTTCCTTCTTCGAATTATATCCCTTGTCTGACAATTAATTATTGCCTTTTCCTTTTTCTTTTGGTCTTTATAGTAATTGATTTTATGGTACATTGAATTTGGGGGGGGGGGAATGCTGAAAGGGAGAGACTTTTATTCGGGAGCCGGTTTCTTTTCTCTTTGGGGCCTTCCTTGTTTGTTCTGTAGGCAAAGGAGCGGCCCTGGAGCCCGACTCCTCTGCGTTCACATTTATTGGTGAGTAATAATAATAGTCGCTTTGTGACTAATGTCCAGCTGTGTCTTCTGCTCTCAGGTGGGGTGACCGCCCTGTGTTGGGACCCCGTCCAGCGAGTGCTGTTCTCCGGCAGCTCGGATCACTCTGTTATCATGTGGGACATCGGTGGGAGAAAAGGAACAGCCATCGAGCTCCAAGGACACAAGTAAGGCTGCTGGTGCTTTTATTAAAAATGCTCTGAGAAAAGGTTGCCTGGAACAAAGGCGTGTGGTCTAGTCGCTATGGCAGGATCTTAGCGTGGAAGGAATGTTACAGGAACATGACCGACGGCCTCTTTGAATTACACCGGTGCGTAAGTATGTTTATTTATTTATACCTCATTTAATTCCACAGAGGATTTGAGAGTGCCCGCAAAAACCCGTGAAATAAAATAATGGCAGCAAAGAGATAAAAAGTAAAAATGAGAACCGGGGAGACTTACGAGTAAAAATCTGAGAATGCGAGAAGAAAGAGCTTAAAAATATAAGCCGTGGAGGCCTATGGAGTTTCTACAATTGAGTTCAAATGTGGCAAGATTGCTGGCAGCTTGAGGAGAAGGGGAGAGGGAATATCCGCACTCTGTGTATTTTGTACTTTGCCAACTATTTATTGAGGACCCCCCTTGACTCATATCGGGTCTTCTTCCTTGAGGGGCAGATCTCACAGGGCTGAGAGGGAGGGCAGAGGAAGCCCGGTGTCTCCTGGGAGCCGCTCTCGGACTTCGCAGTGTGCAGAGTCACCAGGAATTTGTTAGGACGCAGACTCGTTCCGGTCCTGGAGCTCCCCCCTGTCCGCTGGACGGAGCCTCCCGGGCAGCTCTCCCGGGGCCCTCAGCCCACGCTCCCATCTGCCCCAGCCTGCGCGGCCCACCGGTCCTGGGGCACAGAAGACCCGCAGACCCGCCTCAGACCCTAAGGCGAGCCTGACTTGTTTGTCACCTGCAGCTTTCCCAGTGCGTGAACAGCGACTCCGGGCAGCCACACACAGGTGTGAGTGAGGCCCCAGGAACGCGCTGGTTTTAAGCGACGTTGGTTCTTTTTGTAAATCTACCCAGAAATGCTAAAGTTAAAATATTCTCCTAAGTAGTTGGGCCCACCGTTGGGATTATTAGGTACAAACTGTTCAGAATAGCCATTTGGGAGGGCCTCCGCACAAGTGATTATTTCAGTATTCGAATTGAGGCTTCGAGCAGTAGTGATTAAGCCTTCTTTCCCCACGTGAGAGAGTAGACCTGTTGTCGGGGCCAGGTCTTGGCCCTTGTCATCCGCTCATTAGAGGAATCGTTCCCTTGCATTTATCTCCATGACAAGGCGACAGGCCTCAATACTATATATAAAGTTGACGTCATCCCTGTAAGTGAAGAAAAAGAGGAGCCAAACACAGTCCTGTTTAATAAAACTCCGTTACTATCTAATCTGCGAAGCAATTCCCGTCACGTCAGGCTCTCTCAGAGAAATGAGATGCCAGTTTTGAGTGAAGATCAGTAATGTTTGTTGGGCTCATTCGGATTAGCTCGTAACTAGTTTTATGTTTGCACAGTGGTTAATAAAGACTGCAGGCAATTTTGCATGACCCATCCAGAGGGTGGTAAGGAGGGACAGTGCTCGACGCCCCACCACGGTATCCTCAGCGCCCTCGGGCAAGCTGTTGGTCGGGATAGTTTGGTAAGAAAGGAGAAGCTGTAAAGTGGAAATACAGCCTCTCAGCCCCAGAAAGATGGAACCAGAACTAACAGGTCTTCCAGTTTCTAAGGCATACAGAGCTGGCCTTTTGGAACATAGAACAGGCCATACCTGGGAGGCCATCCTGACAGTCCACACCCTTAGGACCTAGGGGGTGGTGAGACCAGGAGCCGCCAGCGGACGCTGGCTTCCAACAGGAATGGTGGCAGAAGGCCTTTGCCTGGTGTCACCCGGTCAGCGTGGGTGTGAGTGCTCGAGGTGGAGTCAGGCTGGGACTCACGGAAGGTGGCGCAAGGAAGGGGCCACGGCAGCAGGCGAGAAAGAGCCACGGGGCCACTTTGACCGCCATTCCTCTGCCCCGAGAGTTGGCCACAGGATTGGTGATCAGTGATCATACTTTGTCAGAGAGCAAACACAGATACGTCAGCGGAGTCTTGCAAGAACCCCGTACGTGTAGGAGGGAAGCCAGATGTCCTCTTCTAGAGGAGAATACGGAGTCCTCAGAGGCCCCAGCTGGCGACGAGGCCTCCCGAACCTTAGTTGAGTCCGTCCGGCAGAGAAAGCTGCTTGCTCACGGCCTTCTTGGTCTCCCGTGCCGCGCTGGGACGCACCGAGGCGCCCGTGGACGGACAGAGGGTCCCCGCTGTGCTCCATGATGGCTTCCGTCCTTCTACTCTGGAGGACGGAGAGTTTCTTCTTGGGGCCCCAGGCTGCCCCTTGCTGTCCTCCAGTTCCTCATTTTCCCACCTTCGCCCTGCAGCGTGACTACCGGTGGTTGAAGCTCCAAATCAGTGAGCTTGGCAACGAGGCAGAGCCGACCGGGCCGGAGACCCCCAGACGGGTGGGGGGCTGCCTTTCCCCCTTGTGGGGAATAGCCAACCATCATGTGGAGGGAAATAGGACATTTTTGCCAGGAATTTGATTTGGTGATCAAGGGGTTGGATCCCATTTTGAATGGGATAAAAATCCCATCAAAGCAGAGCGAGCTTTAGCACTAGAGTGACGAAATGTCTCCAGGTCCAGGGGGGAAAGCTAAAGTATACTTCTACACTACATTAGCTGCATTTGAAACGTTTCGGTGTTTTTATTCCCTGCAGCAAGTGGAACGCGGTTGTGTGCTGCTAGCTCTGTGCAAGGAAAGGCAAAGAAGCGGTTTCAGTGTCAGGGACCAGATACACCTCCGAAGGGCCATCGCCGGTTGGCTGAGTATTACAGAGGCATCAACCTGGACAGCCAACGTCCCACGCCCGTGTCGAATCGAATAAGGATACTTGGGCTTTTTACATCCCTTTTTATTCTTAGATAATGCCTAGCATTTCGTGACCAACATTATGACCATAATTTCCCTTTCTTTTTTTTTTTTTGAGATTTTATTTATTTATTCATGAGAGACACAGGGGGAGAGAGAGGCAGAGACACAGGCAGAGAGAGAAGCAGGCTCCATGCAGGGAGCCCGACGCGGGACTCGATCCCAGGACCCCGGGGTCACGCCCTGGGCTGAAGGCGGCGCTAAACTGCTGAGCCACCCGGGCTGCCCATAATTTCCCTTTCGAACAGCATTTTTCTTAGGCCTCTGAGACCTTGTGACAACCTAATTTAATGGTAACGTGGTTTAAAGCACAGGTAAAGGTCTATGCAATTCTTGGGGTGGAATCTTCCCCGAGACTGGGATCTGTAGGTCCCACGGGATGTGGTCACTGTCCTGGCTCTTGGTTTTCCTCTTCAGACCTTAGCATGTGTAAGACATTTGTTACGAGCATCTTCGAAGCCTTTTGGTAAAGAAAGGGGCTGTTCATGAATTTGGACCTTTCCGTCCTTATCGGGTAAATTGCGTGTAGAGTGAGGAAAGGAAGTGGAATTCTCACACTCATCCTCTTCTGGGTTTGGGGAAGGACAGCAAGCCTCTCTCTTCGAATCTCAGACTTAGGAGCATTTCTCATTGTAGAGAGTTATTAGGATACAGGGGAAGAGATGTCTTTTCCATTTCTAATTGAGCTAAGTGCATAGCAGATCACAGAATTAGAAATGAGGTTTGCAGAGAGGCTAGAGTCTTATCAGAGGGGAGGTGCTATACCGCGTGGCCGTCAGTCGCTGAGTCGCTGGCCTCTGGGTCAGGCCAGGCGCATCTGAGCCCGCCCTCGGCTAATGGCTGTGTAGGCCTTGGCAGGACTCTTCATCTCTCTGATCCTCGGTATTCTCATCTCTAAAATAAAGGTAATATTGGAAAGAGAAACCCTCAAAGATGATCAAAAACCGTAAATTATAAAACGCATGTAAAATAATCAGCATGAGACTTAAGGGCTAGGAAGTGCCGGTTAACAAAAAATTATTCTTGTTAACGAAAAATCATGGTGATTTGAAAATCAGGCTTTTGGCTCAGAGTCCTATTTCTCTCTGAATATAGCATTTTGAATGGAAATCGAGCCACGTGAACCTACTCCCTCTATTTGTATTCAACACGGGTTTCCTGAGCTCCGTCCATATACCAGACTGTAGGCACTTGGGATGCAAGGGTGGCTGGGACGGCAGTCGCTGACTACACGGAACGGGCTTGATGCCTGAGAATGGGGTAAAGGGGCGACCGCGTGCCGGGCTGACTGAAACCGGGGGTCTCCGTGGAGGGGCCGCTCTTGGTTTGGATCTCGGGGGATGAACAGGCTCTCGTAGTTCTCAGGATCAGTACCGTGTTCTCAGGAAATTGCAGGGGGACCGAAGGGCAGTGGCTAAGCTGAACTTGCACCTCAGCCAGTGAGTCAGGCAGGTGTTGCTGGTCGGAATAGCGCGTGCTCCCGGGCAGGATCCCTGAGTTCAGGTCCAGCCTGGCTGCGATCAGGGGTTCCTGCGGCGGCACGTCCTCCCCGGCTCCCTTGGTGTGAGCTGACCCAGGTGTCCCGTACCCGGAAGACCTCGTGTGTGTGGATTACTCCCGAGCCTTTTCTGGCGCCTGGAGGTTTGGGAGGCTGACGACTATGAGTCATGTCCGCACCCCCTGCCCCCGACCCTCAGGAGGTGGAAGAGGGCCCAGGTTGACATTTGGGCAGACGTTAGCTTATGTCTGAAACATCTGTTTCTATGAAAAGGACAAAGGCTTCTCCCCCCTTTTTCCTGAAGGAGCATCAGACGCAGGACCGACGTCCAGGCACACAGGGCCCTGTGCTTGGACGCGCCCCACGCTTGGGCTACTGTTGTGTGCCGTCACCATCTTGTCATTATGCCGCCTTGTATTTTCATTTGTCATCAGGACCCCCAGATCACGTATCTGCCTTACAAGACATATGTTCCCTCTAGGGCTGGTGAGAAAGGAAATGAGGCCATCCCTAGTGAGTGTAGGCTTTGCAGATGGCGGGTCCTGGTAGTTGTGAAAGTGAGGGTGTTGTGCACCGGTAAGAGCACTCGCTCTCAGCCGTGAGATAATAGCCGGGTTTGAAATGCTTTCTGGTATAATGATGTCAGATGAAACACGAATGTAAGAAGAAGGTGTCTCCTATTCTTTATAACCCTTAATCCGTGAACCTGGAGAGGTTCTCTTACCTCGTTTTTTAACTGCAAGGTGGTTACACGGTGAATCCTTAAATCAAGAAGTCCCTGAGCAGCTTTATTACAAAGCTTGGAATCCAGCATTCATCACGGTGCTCCACGCTCCTGTGCTGGAATATGAACAGTACTGGAGCCCCATAAATTATGTATTTGTTGCCGAATGTTGCTGCCAGCCCGGAGAGGCAAAGCAGTTCCTTCTGTGGCTTATTTTGGTTTTACAGCATCACTGATGCGTATCAAGATGCCTTAACAAATGAAATGCAGTTGGAATCCCAGGGTTACGAGTCTGCTCGACTAGATGGAGCTTCCTTCTTGCCCTTGGACGGCAGAAGGGTGGCACTCCGTACTTGCCGACGTGTGAAGGGACAGCCGAGGGAGGGAGGACAACGGAGTACCTGTCGGAGACTTTATATTAGTCATTAACTAATAAAGGAGCGAGATGGTACAGCCGGCTGAGAGGACCATCCAGAGAGCGGACGTGTGCGTAGGCAGGGGAGAGCGGAAGTGAGCGCGGCCTAGGTCGATCCACCTCGCCCTGGGGGGGCGCAGCGGAGGGGACTCCCCGCACCTTCACCGGGAAGGCGCGTTTGCGATCCTGCCAGGGACACAGAGTCATACGATAGCAGGGTTAGGTCGCTGCCAGGTGAAGGCCCTGTAGCCAGGTCGCCCAGGAGGGCTGCCAGGTGACACCCGATCCTCCAGTGAAGGTGCCAGAGCTTTCGGTCCATCTCCTTCTTTTGTGTTTGCCTGATAGTCCTTCCCCCGTCCTCTCCGGTAGGACAGTGATCTCCGAGGTTATTCTTGACCACAGAAGAGGGTTGGTCTCGTAAGGTTCGGCCTAATGGTGGACGTTGTGTGGTGTGAGTGTTAATCGTACAGCTGTTCTCGGCTCGCTTGGCAAGTGTCGAGCCACACGGTGTCAACCGCTGTCAGGGCCACACGTCCGCTCCTGCCTGGAAGTGTTTATAAGGAATCCTGGATCAGGCTTTTCAAAGCCTCTGCTGTTTGCTATACCAAGCCTCGGAGACCAAGCCCCGAATGTTCTCCGCCATATGTCACCCATAGTACTTAGGCCTTGGTTGACCTCCTCGAGGTTTCCAACATTGGCCGGGAGCCTGGCCTGGTCGTTTCCTTACCACCGAGAAGGCCAGGACCCTGCACACCCGATACGAGGCCGGTTTTCCTAGGAGGGCTCTGTGGCTACAAACCTGGTTCCACAGGTTCAAGCGGCTCGTCATATCTGACTCAGTGAGTGTCGTTCTCTAATATGACGTTCTAGGTAAGGACTTGGTCGCCCGACCATATCCTGTGGCTCGGTGCTAACAGCCTATGAGATAAATATATTGGCATTAAAATTAAGGGGATTCAGGGGATCCCTGGGTGGCGCAGCGGTTTGGCGCCTGCCTTTGGCCCAGGGCGCGATCCTGGAGACCCGGGATCGAATCCCACGTCGGGCTCCCGGTGCATGGAGCCTGCTTCTCCCTCTGCCTGTGTCTCTGCCTCTCTCTCTCTCTCTGTGACTATCATAAATGAATAAAAATTTAAAAAAAAATTTAAATTAAGGGGATTCAGTATTACTTTCTGAATTCTGGAGGAATCGTTGAAAACTGGGCATCATTTTTAAATGTTTCTTTTGAGCTTATAAAAGCAGAGTTTACAAGATTGTAGGTTAGAGAGAGGATAAAAAGTAGGAGAAAAGGCACCTCCCATATCCAGAAAACAGAACATTAAAACATCAACATTATAAATCGTAAAATAAAATTTTAAAAAATCTAATAAAACAACGTCATCAGTATTCCCAAATAACTACGGTGAAATGTCCCTCCTTGGCGCATCCAGGCCTGTGTATTAATTCTTGTTCTGCTGATTCTTGGTTTTAGCGATCTGCGTTCACGAAGCCATCCGCATCCAGACTAAAAAGAATCCAGAAATCCAGGGAAATCTTGACTCAGTCCACACGCACAGCTTGAAACTACCTAAGCAATGTCATTTCTGTAGCCTTTGCCGGAGTGTCTATCCTTTGAAAGATACTTGGTACAGTTAAGTCCTTTTCCTTGCGACTCTGAGGTTGTCCTCTCTGGCCTGTAGCTTATAGCAGAGCCCTCAGGCAAGCATCAGAGCGCAACAGAAATCGTCTATAGATTATAAAGACTTCAGTGGTCAGGTTTTTTTTTACTGTGACAAATAGTGATCATAATGAAGGAGAACAAAATTCTCTATGGAGACAGCCTGTGTGACGGTGTCCTGAGAGCTCTGATCAGTAGTCCCCTGGAGGGGAAAGCATAGTATAGACAATGAGAGCTCTGATAAACCCCCAGGGTCGTCCCACAAAATATGCAACCTCAAAAATACTTACTTTAATAAAATTTTATCTATACCGACTTGACCTAGGGAAGGCCGAGCATGTCTTCTGATGACTGTTCCCATGAAACTCGTGAAATAGCAACACAGCAAACAAATACAGCTATTTCTAGCATCTCTCTTTTCACAGGGCAGAGGAGTACGTGTTTACAATTCCCAAGGATCCCTCTAGGAAATCTCAGAGGTAGTTGGAGGTGTAAGAAGTATCCTGATTTCTTAATTTTGTTTTTTCGAGATATAGGGTACGGCCTAGGAAGGCAGAATCAAAGAGTTGTCAAAGGTGGTGTGGGGACTTGAGCCGAGTCAACATAAAGCTCTGAAAGTAATGTGGTGACACACAGAATCTGTGCGAGCGAGGCAGACTTTATGGAAGGAGAAGAGCACCCTTTTGCAGCGTAGTCAAAGGCGTTAATCCGTAAGGCAAGGAAGCGAGCCATCAAAGCCGAGGGAACTGTGCCCAGATTTTAATGCATTTTATAGCCCCTTTTCCAGACTCGAGTGTCATAAACCAAAGCAAATAAAATTCACTTTCCAAGTCTTGTCCTTCATTTTTCTCTCCTATTCTAGAACAAATTTCTACTTGACTCCAGAACTGCCTTTCTCATCCATAGTCTCTCAAAATCGTACAATGGAGTTTTCCGGAGGCTGTGTGACGAGTGGTGTCAGAACAAATGCAGAAAGAGAGGAGTATCTGCCTCTCGTCTGTTAAGCCAGACATTAGAAAGACTTGCAGAAATGTTAATGTCATTTTTGTCATCAGAATTTGTCACTTTGGGAAATACAGTTAATTTCCACCAAATATACGTCATTTATATTAAGATAGAATGGATTTATCGTTGCAGTTTTCAAATTAATATTTTTTTAAGTTCTCAGATTTGATTTCAAGCACAATAAGTATTAGTAGTTATTTCTTGTTTAAACCAAAGCTCTTCGGTGTCTTTAAATAATTTTTAAGAAGGTAAAGGGGTCCTGAGATGGAAAGGTGTGAGAACCATAGCTTTAAGACAAAACTACCCTGGTTTCTCTTTTAAAAACAAAAGCCTTAAATGCATAGTTGTATCTTGTTTCCATTATTGCCTTTGGCATCGTCTAAACCACCCATTTTAGATACAATTAACCAGAGTAACTAACTTATATTTCATAGAAAAAATTGGGAGGAGGGAGGATGTGGGTAATTGAGAACTGTCTGCCACATACACGCATTTTAGTAGATTGGCAAAGCTCATGACCGCCTAACAACAGAAATCTCCGCTGCAGTCCACACCACGTGCACGTCTCCGTCAGGCAGCAGAAACGAACGTTCACTGGTGTGACTCGGCTGTTACAGCCTCTCTGTAAACGTAGAAGATAGCGGGCGCCGGGGGGCTCGGTGGGGAGCCTCTGCCTCTGGCTCAGGGGGTGACCCCGGGGTCCCGGGATCGAGCCCCGCGTCGGGCTCCCTGCAGGGAGCCTGCTTCTCCCCCTGCCTGTGTCTCTGCCCCTCTCTCTCTCTCTCTCTCTCTCTCTGTGTCTCTCGTGAATAAATAAATAAAATCTTTAAAAAAAATGAATGAATTTATATAAGCACTTGTTTATCTTTAAGCCAAACAGAACAAGTTCTTATAATTTAGAAAGTATTAAAATCTTAAAAAAAAAAGAAGAAGAAATTAAAAAATCAAAAGCAAAGAGCAGGGTGATGTGATTTCCTGAGGCCGTCTGGCGGTAGGCTGGCGCCCCGGACTCGAGAGGGGAAGGCCTTACTGAACTGCAGTCGCGGACACCAAGCTTTCACTGCTTTGGTCGCACAACCCCGGATGCAGGGCAGGAGACTCGAAAGCACACAGGTCACCAGTCTGGGTTGCAAGGGGCTGTGCCCCTTCCCCGTGGGCTCAGAACTCTTCATCGATTTGAGCTCAGGACAGAAAAATTAACAGAGTCACCCAAGAAGCCCTATCCCCTGCTCCCTCGCCCCCTGGGCCGCGTCTGGAACCTTCTGTTGGTGATCCCCAAGGTGTCACACCCTGGAACCCGGCCCTCCGTGGTGGCTGCCGCCCAGGGGGGAATACTTCGTCAGCCGTGTATGAACTAGAAAGAAAAATAAAGCTCAAAATGGGGCTCGGGGGCAGCGGGCGCTGACGGCCTCCGGGGCGGCCCCTAACCCGGCTTTCCCCTGCAGCGACAAGGTCCAGGCCCTGTCCTACGCGCAGCACACGCGGCAGCTCATCTCGTGTGGCGGAGACGGCGGGATCGTGGTGTGGAACATGGACGTGGAGCGGCAGGAGGTAGGCCCCCGGGTCAGACCCAGAGCGCCCGGCCTCCCCTCCCGCGCAGCTCTGCCTTCTCTCGCGGCTAAACCGCGGGGGACGCCTGTCGTGTCCGAGAACACAATAGTCCAGTGTCCAGGGAAATTCCGTTTTCCTCTCACCCCTCACGGGGTGGCAAGTGACGTTCACGAAATAGTGATTTCATAAGGATTTTGGCCGAGACTAAGGGGTTTAGACCGAACCTGTTGCTCCATCACAACCAAAGTTCGGGTCGGAGAGAGGGAACCAGCTGTTTCCAGATGATTATCCCTGGACGTGCCCCGGGGACACGGAACACTCCAGGGTGTTACGTTAGCCGGGGAATGGTGGCGAATGCGTGAGAAACGGTACCTGACGACGTAAGAGCCCTTGGCTTGGTGTCACTAGAAATATCAGAAATAACTACTTTTGTGCCTCTTAGGAGTCACGCTCCAACCGTTCTCCAGAGGTACATGCGTTCCCCGCCGTTTTCAAGGCTACGTTTAACTTCTCCCATAGCATCCTGTTCGCCTGAGTTTTCTTTTCTCGTCTTGAGCGTCGTAACCACGGCTGTTTGCCGAGTATCCCCTTGACGGCGACTTTGAAGTTAACCATGATCTCACTTCCCTAGAATCATGCTGGGAGAACCTTCCCTTTGACGGTCCGTATTCATCCATCTGACGTGTTTCCTCGCAGGATGCAAGAGTTAGAAAAGCAACACTTTAAAAAGACGAAAGCAGTTTCCCAGCTTCTTTCCGTGTCCTCACCCCAATCTCCTTTCAAGAGAGCCGTCGCGTATCCACCGTGTAATGCCTTTCAGACGCCAGTAATTAAATGCTTAAGAAGATTAAGGCCTGACTTGCTCAAACCGTAAATCCGTGGGAGTTCTATTAGTAACTAGTTAAAATGATCATTACTGTTAGGAAGTGGGTGTTGTAGGATTTTGCTTTTGAAAGTATCGCTTGGCCCCCTCGGGATAAAGGCAGGGAAATCGTACAGCGCGTGTTGGCCTCGCCAGCCAGGCCGCGGGCCCGCGGATTCTGCACAACAGCCCGCCGTGGGTGACGCAGTCAGCCCTCGTCTGTCCCGGCGTCTTCCCAGGCGTCTTCCCAGGCCGCCGGACCAGCCCAGGAGCGGGGGCCCCGCCCCGCTCTTCTCCCCTGGTGCCCGCAGCCCCTGCCCCTGATGACAGAGGCCCAAGGGAGGGTAATGACGGGGTTTCCGGAGACGAAGCAGGAGGATGATGGGCAGTACCTTGAGGCGTCTTGCTTAAATTATGCCCGTTGACCTGCAGATACGGGCACTTGCAACTCGTTGGCTATCTAGGATCTTCCTGTGCAGGGGATTCAGTGATCCGCATGGGGTGGAGAGACGGTCGCAGCCGTTTTCTGCAAGTGTCATGTTCTATGAGGCTAATTCCCCTGAGGTGTATGTGCGGGGGGCTCCTGGGTCACGGGAGGTGCAGTGCTCACCCCAGGAGGCCGGAGCCCTGAGAAGAAGCGCTCCCCGTGCCGGTAGACTTTCTGGAGGAAGAAGTACGGGAGAGGACTGTCGAAGCCTGTTGGACCGTGTGAGTGATCGGCTCACGGTTGCTGTGAGCTCCACGTCTGCTGGGTGTGCAGGAGGGGGCGACGGTCGGCGGCGGCTTTCCCAGCGGGGAGGCTGTGGAAGGACGTAGGAGGATTGACGGGCCCTGGCTGTGCTCTGAGCAGGACAGGAAGCACCGCGACCAAGGCAAGGTGAACAGGAGAGCGCCTGTGTGCTGGCGCTCGGGAGCAGCAGGGGCAGCGGGAGCCACGGCGGCCGCGGGCGGCCCGGAGGCTCAACAGGTGTTTGTATCGTTAACGAAATCCATTTTTCCTAAAACTGAATCATTCTGTAGGAGCATATGTAACACGTGCTCGGTGTAGCAGGGTCACAGAGGGCTGCTCGACGGGTAGGAAAGGCGTCGGCCACTCCCAGTGCCGCCACCCCGGGAGCAGCACCTGTCACGTGTTGGCAAAAACCCTTCCCATGGTTTTCTCTGCAAATACACGTGGGCAGGGTTTGTTTTTTAGGTCTTTGTTTTTTGGGGTCTTTTGGGCAAAAATGAGGTCATACTGCATGTGCGGATTTCTTTTTTTTTTCCTCTGGCCCGATCCTTTCCCTTTCCCCTCCTCATAGCCACCCACGGTGATGCCTTTGGTGTATGTCCTGAGCCTGCATGTATCCTTATAAAAGGTGTAGTGTGTGCGCGCGTGTGACAGTTTCTTGTGAATCCTTCTGATTTTCCTGCATCGTGTGTCGAAAAATCACAAGCACAGATACGTCTTTAAGGGATAAAATGTCTTTCCTGAACTCTGTTATTTCGTTAAAGCTGTCCTTAAACCGCTTAGAGCTTGAAAATCACAAAGCAAATCAAGGCTTGCTTCTTGAGGACTCTTTGGTTTTAACAAAATAGACCAAGAATCGGAACCCTTCAGGCGTCACCTCTTTACTCTTCTTTCTTGGGACAAGGTGTCGCCTTAGGTTCCTTTCTGCTTGTAGGTAGGAGAATAGGCTAAGTCCCCCCGTCTGTTCTGCAAGGTCTTCAGAAAGGGACGGAGCCGAGGAAAGCTGTGCTGCTGCCTGTTGAGTCCCGGACAGAGGGGCTGACCTGTGTTTCCACGTTTCTCGGTGTGCGCTCGGGGTCTGTTACTGTGAGCGCCCCGTGGATCCAGTTGGGGTCCCTGGAACTCACTTCTGAGACACCCTGGGGCTGGATATATTTTCCCGGGTTCCTTGGGTCCAGTGACACGTGCAAAGACCGTGCGTCTGCCGCGCGATGACTGTGCAGAGCTGAGCGTGGACCCCGGGGCGCACGGGCAGGAGCGTAGTCTCGGAAGGTTTACAAGGAAGCGCTTTAAGCTTAACTCATCCTTTTAAACCCATGCGACACGGTGAACAGGCGCAGAGTGGGGCGAGGTCCACGAGGCAGGGGCGGAGTCTGCACCTCGCTGGGCCCTGCGGAGAGCGGGAGCGGGTGGGCCTCCCCGTGGGCGCCCGCGGGTGCTACAGCCGCCCAGGCAGCCTTCCGCCGCAGGCAGGAGGTGCGGTTGTAACGCCGATGATGCCATAAGCAGCCGGAGCAAATAGGATCGCACACGCCCCGAGAACACGAGACCAGGTCAGCCTGGCTGTCGGGCCTCTCGCCGTGGGCCCCCGCCCCGCGCCCCTCCCCCCTCCTGGCCCCCTGCCTCTGCTTCTCGGGCCTTTGCGCTTCCGCTTATTTAAGCCATCGATGGCACTGATCCTTCCTGTTTAGCCCTGCCCGATCGGGGGGAGCTCCACGACGGTAGAGATCCTGTTGCCCACGCGCCCCCACCCCCCAGGGCGCAGCACTCGGTCGGCGTTCGGTGACTGACTGAGAAGTCCCGCCTCTGTTCCTTGCGAACACCTGTCGGTCCTTGACCTTCCTCGGCATCGATGGCTCCGTGTCCCGCCGCTTCTCAGTGTGGCCTGTCGTGTGCTTCACCCCACCAGACCCCGGAGTGGCTGGACAGTGATTCCTGCCAGAAGTGTGACCAGCCTTTCTTCTGGAACTTCAAGCAAATGTGGGACAGTAAGAAGATTGGCCTGAGACAGGTGGGTGATAGGGATCCGTCGTCAAGGTGGGACAGAGTGGGACCAGCCCGCCTGCGGGCGTGGAAGAGCCGCGCGCCTCCGGAGTGGGGCCGGGGTCCGTTGCTGCCCGGGTCGCCCTGCGGCAGCACGACCCTCCTCCCCCCGTCTGCACCGCGGCTCGTTCCTCCTGGAGTCGGTGTCTGGAGGGACTTGTTCCAAGGGCTTAAGGGTTAGGGTTTTAGGATTCTAGCGGCATCTCCGGAAATACCCCTTCCATCGGAGGGGCCTGCTCAGTTCACGGCGCTAGCGGACCATGAGATTAGAGGAGCCGTGTTTATTTCCTCTGATGACTTCACTTCCCCTCCTGCCATCTCCGTGTCGGGCGCTTAGACGTACTGTAGCGATACAGCATTTCCGTCTGATCCTGGTTGGGTTTGGTCCTCCCCAAGGAGATCAGCGCTAGTCCCTTGCGTGAGCGTGGCCAAGCAGCAGGCCGCAGATTGAAGGGGTTCCCTTCACGCTCCCTCGTCCGGCGGCGTCTTCCCCGGGGGCGGCCCTTCCTCACTACGCCCAGCTCCCAGATAACCTGACCAGGGCGGCCCTCTAGGGTTCACGGGAGCGATAGCTGGGAAGGACCTGGAGTGGGCAGTGGGGGCCGGGGTGGGGAGGCGGGGGTGGGGGGCCGCGGTGACACAAGCAGAGGTGTCCCAGCAGCTCTGCATTTGCACAGAGAGCCCCAGGGGACACCTGTGTTCCCTCGGTCTCCCGGCGCCCTTCGTCTGACCTGCCCTGAATGCCGCCCAGCACGCCCGGAGCCACAGCAGGCCTGTGCTCTCTCCCTGCAGCACCACTGCCGCAAGTGTGGGAAGGCCGTCTGCGGCAAGTGCAGCTCCAAGCGCTCCTCTATCCCCCTGATGGGCTTCGAGTTCGAAGTGCGGGTCTGCGACAGCTGCCACGAGGCCATCACCGACGAGGAGTGAGTGCCGGCGGCGCCACGTCAGGGTTGGGGGGGATGTGGTCGGGAGGCCGCACTCAGCAGCGCCCCAGTTCCTCTGGTTTCAAATACACCGTGCGGGTGGCAAGGCCTGCTTTCTGCCAAGAGGTAGGTGTCCTCTCGTGCGACAGGGAAGCAGAGCCCGCAGGGAGGATTCCTGTGCTCTGGGCTCTTCTCCACCGCGGGGGACGTGCACTGCAAACCCTCCCGTCCCTTCATTCCCTTGAGGGTTGCTCGGGACTGCAGGAACCCGGGCTGCACTTTCCAGCCCAAGTTCATATTTTTTTTTTAAGATTTTATTTCCATATTTATTAGAGAGAGAGAGCGCGCGCGTGCACGTGTCCAAGCAGGGAGGGGAGCAGCAGGCAGAGGCAGAGGGAGAAGCAGGCTCCCCACCGAGCAGGGGGCCCAATGTGGGGCTCCATCCCAGGACCCGGGGTCACGACCTGAGCCGAAGGCCGACGCTCAACCGCGGAGCCCCCCGGGCGCCCCCACCAAGCTGGTATTCTTACGGGGCTAAGTCAGCCCACGGGCTCCACAGGCTGCATTTCTCAGGAGGAGCTAAGCCACTTTCCCCAGGAGCCCAGTACTTCCAGCTGCTCCGTCGTCTTGTGGTCTTGCCGATGACCTACGACCTCAGCTGGCCGCGCGGCCCGGGCCCTGGGGCGCGTGTGGAGGGGTGCGTCTGCGTGACCCCCTCAATGCCGCGAATGGCCGACTGCCCCAAACGTAAGCAGAGCACTCTGCAGCAAGTTCCCCTTTTAACGAACGACGGCAGGATCTCCCAGGAAGCTCGTCCGCCCGATTCTGTGAAGATCTGCTAAGGAAAAGCTTGCAGGCTCCCCCACCTCGTGTATCGTAGAAGCGTTTCAAGTGCGAGGTGGGGGTCTTGGAACAGCGTGTAAGTAGGAATGTAGTTAAGATGCACCACAGGAAGTCAGCGTTTAAAGGAAAGTCCTGGCAACTAATAAGCCAAATCATTCTCTTAACGGATAACCCTAATTTATGTGTTTTTTCATTCTTACTTACCCAGAGCAAATATAAATCAAGATGCCCTTGCACAGCAAGCATTTATGTTCATTGATTATTTTCCGCTCATCATATGTGTTGAAATTAATAAGAAAGTTCTTTTCATTAGATTAGAGAGCTTGCAAGAGACTTGTGAGATATTCTAAATTAATTATTCATGTTACAGATAAAGACACAGACCCAGAGAGCTAAGCAACTGCACGTTAAGCCCAAATCTTGAATTCTAAGTGTTTTAAAGTGATCGTCTTAGGATCCTGAAGATCTGTTCTGCAGACCTAGCCCCGGGCCACCCCTGGCTTCGGAGAGCCCCTGCAGAGGGGCCTGATGGCGGACCCGCCGCCTCCTCCCCCGGGGCCCCGTCTCTTCTGGTCCCCGGCATCGCCTCCTGACCACCAGGCAGGTGGTGGGCCACAAGCCCTCTCACCAAAAAAAAAAAAAAATGCATCGATTTAAAAATACTGATGTTTGCTTATGGGCTGTTTGACTCGTTCAAGTGTTGGAATGCCCTGGAAAGAGTAAGCCTGCAGCTGCCCCAGGGAGATGAGGAGAAGGCACGGGCCGCTCGTCAGCGGGGAGGTGACAGTATCTGAGGCTTCGTAACAGCTGTGCTCTTGGGTTTTTTTTTTTTTTTTTTTTTAAATAGGCACAGGTCGCTGTTCTCCCAGCGGGTCCTTCTGAGCCTTGGCAAAAGCACGGAGGTGTTTGTTTTAGGACTCGTCAAAGGCAGAGTTGGAGGTTTTCGTAGACTCCTATCAGGGCAGCTAGTGGTCCCAAGACTTGGGGGAGCGTCGTCATCTCTTTCCCATTCCGGAGAAGACAGGAATCCTTTTCACTTTTTAAAACAAAAAGGGGCTCCTGGGTGGCTCCGTCGGTTAAGGGTCCAGCTCCTGGTTTCGGCTCAGGCTGTGACCTCAGGGTGGTGGGAGTCCAGGGTCCAGGCTCCAGGGTCAGCGTAGAGTCCGCTTGATTCTCCCCCACCCCCGTCTGCACGAGCGCCCTCGGTCCCACGTGCTTTCTCGCTCTCTCCCTCTCCCACTCTCTCCCCCCCCCACCCCCCCCACACCCCCCCCCCGCCCCCGCTCTCCTGCACTCTCTGTTTCTCCTACTCTCTCCCTCTTGTCTCCCCCCCCCCTCTCTCTCTCTGAGATACGTAAGTCCTGGAGCCCTTGTGGGGTGGGTGCGGGGGGAGGGAGGGAGGGAGGCCACCACCTCCGACACTGTCTTCTCTCCTTCCTGTGCGGCCCCTCGTCACTCGACGGCCTTGTTCCCGCAGACGCGCGCCCACGGCCACCTTCCACGACAGTAAGCATAACATCGTGCACGTGCACTTCGATCCCACCCGAGGATGGTTGCTGACTTCTGGAACCGACAAGGTTATCAAGGTACGTCCCTGGGTCTTGCAGCCTCGGCTCCATGAAGTGTGCAGGGCCGCAGCGTCATGAGGCCCGTGCACAGGGAGCACACCGAGGGCACACGCCTCCTGGCCAGGGACATGCCATCTCCTGAGACACACGCGGGCTTCCCGGTGCCTAACGTGGGTCACGCGTGGAACAGACAAGTGGGTAGAGGCTGGGATGGGGGAGAGGCCGGGATGGGGTAGAGGCAGGGATAGGGGTAGAGGCCGGGATGGAGGGAGAGGCCAGGATGAAAGGAGAGGCTGGGATAGGGTAGAGGCAGGGATGGGGTAGAAGCTGGGATGGAGGAGAGGCCGGGATGGGGTAGAGGCAGGGATGGGGGTAGAGGCCGGGATGGAGAGAGAAGCCAGGATAGGTAGAGGCTGGAAGGGGAGAGGCCGGGATGGGGTAGAGGCAGGGATGGGGTAGAGGCAGGGATGGAGGGAGAGGCCGGGATGGGTTAGAGGCCGGGATGGAGGAGAGGCTGGGATGGAGGGAGAGGCTGGGATAGGGTAGAGGCTGGGATGGAGGAGAGGCTGGGATGGCCACAAGAGCTGGGCCGCAGGAAGGAAGCGGCTCGGTGTGGAGAGGACTGGCAGGGGCGAGTACCAGCTGGTGTCTGCCGGGTGAGGGCGCTGGCCCAGAGGCGCGGAGCCGGCCGCGGGGATGCGGTGCCGCCGCAGGGCCAGGACAGGAGGCCCTTCCGGGAGCAGCAGCAGGCGCGGCGGTTGAACCCGGAGGCCGCCGTGACCTCCAGCAAGTGCAGCGTAAACCCTGGGAGCCTCGGCTCCTCTGTTTTTGAAAATAGGAGCCGTGGGGAGACTGGGTGAGAGGATGGGGCGGCCGCGCTGTGGGAGAAGCTGTCCCCAGCGCCGAGTCGCCGCTCATGCCCGCCTGTCTCTCCGCAGCTGTGGGACATGACCCCCGTCGTGTCGTGACGGCCCCGCAGGCGTCCGAAGGCCGAGCTTACTCTACAGCCGTCGCCGGAATCCGCACCTTCCCGGAGCTGCGAGTGGACGCGGAGGCGCGCGGAGCCGCGGCCTGGTGGGCGCGTGTGCATGGCCCCGGCGACGGGCCTCCACAGCCTGTCCCCACAATAAGACGGAAGATAGTTTTTGGCAAATTTGTGTGCGTCCCGGCTCTGCTGCCTTGTTGCGAGCATCTGAGAACCGCGTGGGCTGAGCGCGGCCCGTCTCCCTCCCCTCGGCTGTGGTGAGGGAGCCTCCCGCCTCCGCCCGCCCAGCTCTGTGGGCCGCGTCCCCCCCCCCCGCGCCCTCACCTGCGGTCACCCGCGTGCTGCTGTCCACTCTCTCCCCAGCGTGTCCTCAGCTTCCACACACGCCTCCTGCGCCGCGGGGTGCGGGGGCCCCTGGTGGGGGTTTCCACTGACCCCCTGAATCACCCGGAGCGATCCCCTTGGGCGCCCGCCTCGGCCTCCGCCTTTGCCCCCCCACCTCGCGGGAGCACGTGGCCACCTCGGAGCCCCAGCTCTGGGGCCTGGGTCGTTGTCACCCGGTTGGAGGCTCCCAGCCTCGTTCACGGGCTCTTCCCCGCGCGCCGCACTCCCAACACGTGCGGCAAAGCAAGAACCCAAACCCCAGGGCCCCCCGGAAGAAGCGCCTGTAAGCCATGTCCCCCGCGACAGCCCCTCGAACGTGCTCCCTACCCGGGCCGCGCCCTGCCATGCCCCGCGCCGTCCCTGAACCTGGAGATCTAAACCTCGTCCTTCGTGTGCTTTAGCAGAGCGCGTGGCAACGCTTTCCTACTACACCGGTGTGATCCGAGACGTGAAAGGTGCCGAGTCCGACGGCTCCGACTCCTCTGGTTGGGGATTATCATTATTTTTTTAAAGAGGGCTTTAAAAAATGACCCCAAAGAATTCTAATTTTAAGGAAATCCAACCAAACTTGATCCAGTGAAACGCGTGTGCGTAGTGGACCCACCTCGGGATGTTGAGGTCCGTTTTAGAAACGTCGTTTCCACCTGGAGAGAGACTTGGTCAGCTGCGGCGTGTGCCGTGAGCCCTGGACACGTCGCACCTGTCGGGGCCGTCGGGGTCACGGAGTCCTTGAGCCTCCCCGGGCTGAATAAAGGCCAGTCACTTGCCCTTCACTGTCCAAGCGTCCACGTCATCTGTTCCCTTCGATTTTGACAGTTTCTTGGTGTCGGAAATGCTCCCTGTTTCTTTTCTTTTCTTTCTTTTTTTTTTTTCGAAAGCCGTTTTCCCCCTCGTGGTTAGTAAGCCCCTTCCTTTCCAACCTGGGAGGAGCCCTGCGCGCCGTGCCAGGCCGGGGCACCTCCGGGACCCTGAGCGGCACCCCCGGGCCGCGTGGCCACAGCGCTGGGGAGCAGGCCCCGGCCGCAGCCGCTCGCGGGAGCACACTGGAAGCTCGTACACGCGCGTACACACGCACGGAAGCTGTCCCCACGAGCCGCCTCGCCGGGCCTCCCGCGCCCCTGCGGCCCGAGTCAGAGCCGTTAGGACTGACCCGAGCCTTCCCTGCGCGGCGGTGAGAGCTCCGCGAGGGAGTGAAACGTAAAACACTCCAATAGCCTGGACTCCGAGCCGCTCGCCAAGCCGTCCGTCGTGGGGAACCACGTGCTGAGTCAGAAACGAGTGGGGCTCTCCGTCCCCGGGTGGTGGAGGGGGTCTGTGTGCGGAGAGGGGGACGGCAGGGCAGCCGCACGTCGGTGCCCAGCGAGCCTGCCCTGGACCCCAGGTGGGCGCAGGGGAGCTCAGGGCGCGCCGGGTCCACCGTGGGCGCCCTGGGCCGCCACCCTGCGCCCCGCTGCAGCGCCCGCCCGCCAGCACGGCTGTGCCGCAGCCCGCAGAGCCCCTCAGGGTCGGAGCCACCGGACGCCCCATCGGGGAGGGGAGCCGCGGCCAAACCCCCGGGTGCCTCTTAGTGTCCACGGCCCCGGCCCCTTCTCCGTCCCCATCCCTGCGGGTGCTCGGATTCCTGAAGGACGACACGCGAGCCAGCCGTGCCCCGTCCTACGGTGAACCCGGAGCTGGACGACGGGCGTCCCCACCGTGTCTGTGACTCATGGGGCCGGAGCGCGGGTGGCGGGGTCTTCGCGCGTGTTCGGGGTGGGCTTCGCGCCCCCGGAGTGGCAGCGCCCCGCACCCGGCCTTCCCCCGCCCACGTTGGCTGCCATCGCCCACGTGCCCCGTTGGAATCGCACCTCGCGGGGATTCTGCTCGGCTACTTCGCTTCTGACAGGTCGCGGCGAAGCGGCAAAACGGCACCTGCCGCGCCCACGCTCGTTCTTCCTTGGTTTGCCTTTCCCTGGTTCGCTCGCACGTCAGTGGTCTTGATCTCACTAGGGTGTGTGGCCTGGGGTGAAGCCAGCGCCTGCCAGAGCAGCCTCGGCGTCCTACGCCGCCGGCAGACGTCCCTGGAAGAGCCGATGCGCACGCGGGTGGGGAAACGGGCCACCCTCGGGCGCAGCCCACCTGCTGGGCGCCCGCCACGGGCCCGCGTGGATCTGGGCTGGGCAGAGGCCCCCGGGTGGGGGCACGGGTCATGTTGGCACCAGGGGTCCATGCAGGGACAGGAGTGTGCCCAGGGCCTCCTCGGGAGCCCTGCACGCGGGGCCCATCCCCGAGCAGGAAAGAGCTGGGAGCCGAGGGTTGGGGGTGTCGCGGGGGCGAGTCCAGCAGGGGAGTGACGAGGTGCACAGAGGACACGGGGTGGGGCTGCTGTCACCACGGGGCGGGCGTGACCTGGGGGGGCAGCTCCCCGTGGGCCGCGAGGGGGCCGCTGGTGGAGAGTCAGGCCTCCTGCAGCCGCCGCGGCTGGGCCGGTACCTGGGGTTGGTTGTCTCCCCTTTGGGGACACCCTGTGCTCCTCGGAAGATGACCCGCGGCAGCTACGTGTGGAGCTCCCTGGAGGCACAGCCCCTCCCCGGCCGTGTCGGGGTGCAGGCCGCTGTGTGGACCTGGCCGGAGCACTCAGATCCCGGCCTCACGCCACCGTGTCACTGCGCCCCACCCCCACTCCTCCCGGCAGGTGCTGCCTCCTCTGCTCAGAGGCCTGCAAAGTGCTGGGCAGCCCCCCGCGACCCAGCCCTGCCCTGCGGGGCATCCAGCACCCCCCATGACCCGGCCCTGCCCCGCGGGGCATCCAGCACCCCCCATGACCCGGCCCTGCCCCGCGGGGCATCCAGCACCCCCCATGACCCAGCCCTGCCCCGCGGGGCATCCAGCACCCCCCATGACCCGGCCCTGCCCCGCGGGGCATCCAGCACCCCCCATGACCCGGCCCTGCCCCGCGGGGCATCCAGCACCCCCCATGACCCAGCCCTGCCCCGCGGGGCATCCAGCACCCCCCCCCCGGGCCGGGCACAGTCTAGGCCCCACCGTTTTCTCCCCGAGCCGTGTCCCCTGAGCGCCCAGGTACCGGATGCCTGTGCCCTGCTTCGGGGACACCCACGTTGGGCTCCACTCCACACCCGGGAACCACGTACAGAGCAGCCCTCGGGCGTCTGAGTTTGTCACCTTCCCCTCCCTCCCTCGGGGGCTCCACCGAGCGGCCTTTAGGTCCAACGACGCACAAAAGCAGTCGCTAAATGCAGAGGCGGCGGGAAGCGGACGGGGTCCCTCCCTTGGGTTTCTGGGGGGCGGGGGCGCAGCCGAGCAGGGCCTGGCCGGGTGCTCGCCCTGTGCTTTTAAGATTGTGCTCATTATTTAAAAAAATAAATTAAAAATAAAAATAAAAACGATAGTGTTCATTAGAGGGAGGCAGGCTCCCCACCGAGCAGGGACCCCGACCACCCCAAGAGCCGGGACCACGGCGGAGCCCCAGGCACCCCGATGACGCCCCGGGGCCCCTTCCAGCCCAGCGCGGGCTGCAGTCGTGCCCGAGGCCCCGGGGAGGAAGCGCGGGGCTGCCGCTGGCAGCCGGGTCACACGCGGCATCTGCCCCTGGCCTTAGTCTCCCCTGGTGCTCAGGGCACCGAGGGGTGAGCGGTGGTACCGAGGGCAGCGCGTCCTGCCCACACGTTTCCCGGTGGACGCAACGGCAGCCTTGGGTCAGCAGCGTCCCCGCGTGCTTCGCGGCCGAGCACGTGTGTCGCTGCCCCTGCGGCCGCCGAGTGTGTTCGACGCCAGTGCCGTGCTTTTCACGTGACTGTTTTCATCATTTTGCAAAAGAAAATGTTTATATGCAGAGTACAGAGCTGTCAGGACCTGCCCCCAGGAGGTGCTGGCCCTGCGGTCGCCTGCCTCCCGGTGCCCGGCCCCGCAGCTGCGGCGCGCGTGTTGCTGTGCCGTCTCCTCCTCCGCGCCTGAGGCTCCCCGAGGGTCGGGTGCAGGAGGCCTCGGGCCCCGAGCTGGGACGTCTCCCAGGCCAGGGCGCCGCAGAGGCCACCGCGCGGCCAGCTCCCCGCCAGCAGGGCCCACCCGCCGGACCCCGCAGACTCCTGGCTGCCGACGTGAGGTCCCAGCAGGAATGTGCCACCACGCTAAGGCGTCCGGTTCCACGTCCACAGGCCGCTGGGTGTCCCGTGCCCTTGAGCTCTGCGCCCGGCCTGCCTCCCCTCACAGCACGGCCCTTGCCACGTCGGCAGCCACGCTCTGTGCCGTGTGGTGTCCACAGTTCAGGATACGTCCCTGTGGACCCTCCCTGCAGCCACGGCCCTGGCCCTGTCACCGTCCAGCACCCTGCATTGGGCACCCGCCTGAGGCAGGGGAGGCAGCCCGGGCCCTGCACTGGCCGCCTGGACCCAAGGGACCCGCCTGGACCCAAGGGAGCTGCCTGGACCCAGGGGACCCGCCTGGACCCACAGGGACCCGCCTGGACCCAGGGGACCCGCCTGGACCCACAAGGACCCGCCTGGACCCAGGGGACCCGCCTGGACCCACAGGGACCCGCCTGGACCCATGGGGTCCGGGGCCCCTTGGCACGGCTGTGACCACGCAGCCCTGCCTACTTGGTGTCTCACGTGGGCCTGCCCCGCCTGAGCTCAGAGACTTGCCAAGGGGGAGAAGGCACGGAGGGGACCCCAGAGGAGCAGGCCTGAGGGCCCAGCTGCCCGCGCCCCGGGTCACCAGCTGCTCCAGCGTACACAGGCCAAGGCGCCCTCCCCCCAGGAGGAGCTGAAGCGCCTTTCTGGCCACGAGTGTCCGGCCAGCTCTCCGAGCCCCTTCCCAGGGACCGTCCGGAGTCCTTCCGGGCCCACGAGCACCAACACAGTAATAATCCGCTAAAAGAATAACCTGAAAGTAGGGGCGCCTGCGGGGTGGGGCTCGGGTGGAGCATCGGCCTCAGCTCGGGCTGTGACCCTGGGTCCCGGGATCGAGTCCCGCGTCCGGCTCCCCGAGGAGCCTGCTCCCCCCTCGACCTTGTGTCCCCGCCTCTCTATATCACTCAGGAATAAACACATAAAATCTTTTAAAAATAAAAGTAAAATCTAAGAGTTGGAATCAGGAGAATCCCAGAGACACGTGGTGACTCCCCGGGTTCCCAGCAAGTGCTTACCAGGTGGAAAACACGGCACAGCTCCCTTTTCTCGCCTCGTGGAACCGCACGGAGTCCCAGGCCGCCCGGGTGCGAGCGCCGGGAAGCCTCCCGCGGTTTGCGGGTCCTTGTCCCCCAGGCCAGGCCGCGCCCGGAGCGCTCCGCCGCCGTCCCTGCCCCCCTCGCTGTCCCTGACCCCCTGCTCCTTCCCCCTCCACCCGAACTCTCTGTCTCCTGGGCTTCAGGGGGCTCCTGTCACTGGTGACCTAACGATCCCCGGATGCGGGCCTGTCTCCCCAGGAAGTCCGCGGGTCCTGCTGATCCGCCACCTTTCACGACCCCGACCCCGACACCGGGGCGCCCGGGGGCTCAGTGGTTGAGCGTCCGCCTCTCGACTTCGGCCCAGGTCATGATGTCAGGGTCGTGGGTGGGCTCGGTGCTCAGCAGGAGTCTGCTCGGGAAGCCGGCCTCTCCCCCCCACCCCAGCCCGGCTCTCATGTTCTCTCCCCCAAATAAATAAATAAATTTTAAGAAAAAAAAAATGACAATATCCAATCCAGGTGGAGCCGGGAAATGGCTCGTCGCAGGGCTTTGGTCACTCCCTCTGAGCGGAGCCAACCTGGCGACTTCCTTTCCCCCAGGACTCAATGG